ACGTTCATGTAGACATTGTGGGACCACTGCCACCATCGCATGGGTATGATCACATACTCACGCGCATCGACCGTTTTATAAGATGGCCCGAAGCTATTCCGACCACGTCTATCACAACGGAGACAGTTGCTCACCGCTTCGTAGAACGATGGGTAGCTCAGTATGGTTGTCCCTTGACCGCCACGACTGACAGAGGACAAAAATTGGAGTCCGCATTATTCTTCTCACTGACCCGGCTGGTTGGTACGGAACACACGCACAAACACCTACCACTCAGCATCAAGTGGTTTAGTTGAACGGTTTCACCGCCAACTTAAAAGTGCTCTGCGAGCACATGAAAACAAAAATTGATACGAAACCTTACCGCTCGTCCTCTAAGGTATCACAACGAGCTTGAAGACAGATATCCGATGTTCCGCCGCTGAACTTGTACAACGTCAAGAAGTCGCTCTCCCTCAAAAGTTATCTACCTGTTCACATGTTTTCATACGAGTAGATTCGGCACGCAAACCTCTGCAAAAGCCTTATGAAGGACCTTTTCACGTGATTTCTCGTGACGAAATGACCTTCGAAGTTGGTCGCCATGGCCGCGTCGAGGTCGTCAGCATTGATCGTCTCAAACCAGCACACGTCGATGACAGTGCCCTACTCGATACTTGAGACCCAATGCTAGACCTATCAAACCTACTAGCGGGATACCTACATCTACTTCAGGTCACACGCTAGATACGCCAAAGACCTCATTCTCACGTCCCGGTCAACAGCACGTGTCATCTGCACCACCTACGAACGAGACTTCGGTCTCACGTCCAGGTCAGCAGACCACGCTGCCTTTGACTTCGGATGAGGTTGTAGGCTCACGAAGCACAAAGGAGATTACCGTCTCACGTTCTGGTTGCCGAGTGTGCCTACCCGTACGCTTTCGCGACTAACCGCGCAATCAACGGATACGGTGTAGGACTATTCCTATACTACATGCATGCTACACCTTTTCCCTTTTTTTGATTTTTTTGTATCCTGAGCCCGCGCCTCCGATCATCACCCGTTTGGTACCGTCGACTTCAGTCAACCTTGTCGAAAGCTGACCTGACCATCCACGCTCTTGTCAATGTACTCAGTCGATGTTCTGGTTCAGAATATGTCTGGCATATATTTGGTCTCGCATCCTTCTTTTATTGTATAACCCGGGATTTCGTAAATCTGGATTTCATATGTTAATTTTACATCATTCGTACAGTATATAAAGGTATTGAAAATTGTATGTAGTAGGACATTGTTGATAGCACTTAGAATGTGTAAGAAGTTTTTTCGTGCATTACTTCTTTCATATTATCATAGTTTCTTCTATTTCTTATTCATCTTGTCCAGTTTCTTTTATTGAGCTAGTTCAAAGTAGATAATTCTCTTTCTTACTTGTGATTTTTGTGTCCAACATTACAGTATGATTTTTGGATATCATTTTGACTCCTTACAACCGATTGTGATAATTTATCGTTCACTTCGTAAGAATGACTAGGACGTCATGAGGTTTGGTCATGGTCATTTAGTTCATATGTGTTGTGGCTGTAATGATCTCTTGCTTCAATTGCTTATTTTACTTTATCTTATTTGGTGTAACTGTTCATTCGCTCTTCTTGTAATTTATTGACCATCATAGATCCCATTGGATCAACTGATAGGAAACGCTATAATTCAATGTTAATTTATTTCTATGATTGTATGCATCTTTGTAGTACGGGATCATACAACTTACTACTTACTTACGCCTGTTACACCTCGTTTGACATACATCATAGGCCAGGAGTCGCTAACCAACTTTTTTCTCGACTCTTCTTTCCAGTTGTTGCTAAATGCTTTTCATTCTATTGATGTTTGACTCCAGTTTTCGGCGAAACATGTTCTTTGATCTGTCTTTTCGACTCTTGCTGTCAGGATATCATGTTCAGGCTTACCTCGTGTTGCAAATTGTTGATTTCCGCAGAGTGTGACTGTGGTGTTCGTATGAACTAATGATTCTTTTGTACTTGATGAATGCCTGATTTCTAATTTAAAATACAATACGTTCATCTGTGTTCATCTAGTTTTATTCTTCGTAACTTGCACAATTTAGGGGATTTCTAGTTCGCACGACAATTCTAATACTTCTAAATATCACAATGTCCTATCCATCTCCAGCTCCTTTTTTATTTTCCCATTCGGCTGGCATCTGGATTGTTCTCTGTCATAGTGGATTGTTGCTTATCGTATCCAGCCAACGAATCTGAAGTAACTTGTGCAGAGGAGTGTTTACAAGTACGTATATTTTCTGGATGATGGTTGTAGTAGTTCTCTACGTTTCAGCTCCATGCAATAGAACGGTATTGACATCCTCACTAAAAATGTGGAATCTGGTGTTGATTGACAGTTGTTTTGATTTTCGGATATTCTCCATTTATAGGGATGGTGCCCTTTTTTGGCTACCTGTTCATTCACATCTGCATCTGTCAGTTTTCCTTCATGAAGGACTTTGAGTTAAGTCTCCTATCTACACTCTTATAATCAGGGAATTTGATGTATAGTGGTTACGACAATGTAATACGAAGACGAAGATAATCTTCGTCTTCTTATTACAGTAAAGTGATTAGTCACATTCAACCGATTGCGCAAAATCAATCCTTCGTATCGCATTTCAGTCGGTAGATAATCAATCTTGTTGGTCTCATTGTTGATATTCTACTGAGTCTTTGTGGTGTTTGAACGAACTAATAATACTTTTGTACGTGTTGAATGCTCGATTTCGAATTCCAAATACAATACATTCGCTTGTGCTTGTGTCTTACTTCTTAATCCAATTGCGTTATTTCTGGGACTCTTAGTTCTTGCTATAATTCAAATAATTCAAAACATTTTAGTCTTTCAATTAGATCACAAGCACTTTGTCGAAAACGTTTCTCGGTACGAACATTAGGGTTATAAACTATAGTTCTCACACTTTCTAAGGTCTTTCTTTAGTTAGTGGGGTGCCATCTATAGGTGCTCCTTACGCACACCAAAATCTGGTGCTTCCAGTGGCGAAGGACCCTCTGGAATGTTGAAGTCGCTGTTTCTTCGATTTTTTACCAACTACTTGCCATAATGGTTTTCTCAGCTTTTCTTTTATCCCATGAGCATATGTTAAATTAAGAGCTAGGGTTAAAAGCAATGTCATTATATCACTTACTCAACTTGGACCTTAGGTACAAAATACTAAAGCGTTGAGTTCTTTGAGTACAGTAAAATGAACTGGACCGGATGAACTACATTACCGACCACTAAGATAACTCCCGATGTGCGTTGCTGCCGCGCTAGCAACTATAATCGAAATGTCGCTCGGCTAGGGCAGATCACCATCGTATTAAAAGGATGCAACGGCCACCCTATTATATAATACAGAGCTCATCAAATATCCATTAAGCTCTGCACTGTTTAACTCTGCGAGTTTTGTTTTACAAATATTCGAGACTACAATGGAAATGTGTTATACAGTGAAAAACAATATTTTCGGAAAGGCTTGTCATGAGTGACAGATCTGCTAGCAGTGTCCAGTTGCTCAGCATTGTAATACCAGTATGTGCTATTCTAGTCGACTTTGTCAAAGCTTTTGATAAGACCTCCTATAATACGCTCTTACCCAAGCTCAGAAATGTAGGATCTCTAGGAAGATGCCTGAGTGTAAGATCCAAACTACGGTTTGGACTGCTGAATAGCCTTCCAGGTACGTTAGACAAGCACCCTTTCTCGTCGAAATCAAAACAAGTAATCAGGTAAATGGCGGTTCTATAATTCATCATGAATTTAAATGTAAATCGTTACCTAAACAAATATTACCACCCAGCTATTCAACCAATAATTGTTCAATCAATAAAATCTAAATTACAATAAATAAAGTAGTTGATAAAAGATGAGGGAAAATTACCAGTCACAACAAATGAACGTTATTCTATCCTGACTGGATAGAACACACAAAAGGAGGAGCAAATCAATATGGCTACCACCAAGAACAAGTGTCAAGTAAAACAACACAGATGCAGTTCGGGGAGAAACACAAACTTAGTGAATGCGTAAGAAAAACAAAAACTACAATAAAAAATACAAGTATTAACAATTCAAATGTAATCAAAAGACAACAATGTACAACTAAGGGAATCAATAGGAACAAAGTGCAAGTATATACATGGAGGGATTTTCACACACACAAAACATTCAAAATGGATCTTACACAAACCACTTACATCATCAACGCGAATCCGCCTCCGATCGTTTCCTTAGAGCGTGGTTTGGGTCTTGGAATCACGGAGAACTAAGACACCAGCCCAAACTACATGGAAGATGCAAACAAGCAAAACGCAACTCACTAGTTTATGTAAGAACAATTATGCGTAACCACATCAGGGCTTTCTTAATACTATGTAAAACGTGAACAAGTCCTCACCTTAAAGTTCACAATGTCATGGCATCCTCTTTCTTCAAAAGAGACGCAAATATCTAGGACCAAGTGAAGAGACGTGGAACGAAGTGAGTGATAGGCATAAAACCCTGGGATTTTTCTCGTTGAGCTACATATCGTTAATTACTCCTCATCTCGGTTGCTTTCATCCTTGTTGTTCTTATTACTCTCCTAACTCCGTCTCCTTATACATTATCAATTAAGCAAATTATTTGTTTGTTCTTGAAACAGTAATCTCTCAGAGGTTGAATTATCACTTTACTATATTCACATTGCCTTAAGTCAACCCCTTGACTGGTAATTTGTTATCTTCTGGTATCCAGAAACCATTTTTCTCTGGGACAAGCACACACATAAACTACTAGACCTATAAATAAAAAATAACTACCAAACGGACTTGAAACAGACCACTAGAGTGGCTAGACTACTATTCAGCAGTCCTCAACAAATATCGGTAAGCATACCGAAACAGGAAGAATCCAGCTGAAAAAATCAACTGCTTTATACAAGCTTGTGATAAAGATATTGGTGATATTGGAAATTGAATGGATGCACTGACTCAGTGCGTCGGTTTGATTTGTTGGGTTACGTATTCCAAATAAGGCAATGGAAATGACGGATGATCCTCTAGTTCTAGTTTTCAAAGCCTTGGACACGGAAAATAAAGGCTATATTACTGTGGAGCAATTCGTATCAACTTTTAAAGAATTTTATAATTCATGTGGAGCTGATGGAGAAAGGCGATCATCACTTTCTTCGAACGTAATTGCTTTTTTTTACCTATTAATACGTGTACAGGATATCATGAAAGTAGTGCAGACTTTAGATCCAGAAAATGACGGAATTATACATTATGAAGATTTTAAGAAGGCTTTTGAGGGAAACATAAACTGTAAGGTGCCTTTCATCTCAATAATATACAATTAGTTGATGAAGACAGTACATCAAAGCACTCAAATTCTCTATCTAGGAATTCAGATGGGCAAAACGCATCTGTAAGGTCGAGCTTCCTTTCAGACGGTTTGGAGAACAAGGTACGTTTTGTCCTCATATTGTTGTCTGTTGTATGCTGTACGTATAGCCTGTGACGCTACTGAATACGTTGTGTGCGTTATTAGTGAATTTGCCCATTATTCATTAATCATACGTTTTCTCAGACGATTGTTTGATCTACCTGCGCTTTTTATCCCCATTCTTGTACATGTTAAAAACAAATAGAAATCATATGAGCGCAATACAAATACACCTTACTTATACTTTAGTTAACTGTTAGTTTTCTTAACTATAAAGAGAAAGCAAATTAATGGCGACACACATAGGCCAAAAGGCTACATTTCAGGAGTGAAGAAAATGATTAAGTAGTCCAGAGTTACGAAATAATACCGGAAAGTAATAATTGAGTATATCTATACCACTGTGACTGATTCTAAGTCGTATAACTCAAGGTCTTCAGATTCGATGAAAGATTATGTCTTAAACCATAAAGTATATAAATCAAGGCACATGACAGTCCGATATTTTGTAGCTTCATGGACTGATGACATGTCTTTGCTTGGCCTCCCTTAAAGCTTTTTCAACCGAGTCCTATGTTAGTCGGCGTAACGCTTCGTAATGAGCGTTGAACCTCTGTGTTCAACATGTCTCCCAACCATGTTACCTAATGGAGGTTTGGAAATTTACCAATTTGAGACTTACCTAGTACTGTACGCGTAACAAGATTACTCATTCGTCTCATTATATTCATGAAATATTGTTATGGAAACTAATTAAATGCTCACTGGTCATGCATTTCTGTTTATAAGGAACACTTTGTTCAACTGTAAATAACAGAGATATACTATTCGAACAGTGATTCTGTTTGATGATTCCGCTGCCGGTGATGAAATCTTGAGATTTCTCAGATATCATAATCTTTACTATGATAACATGAGAAGAAGATTGTGCATTGAGCTTCAAACTAAAGGATATAAGCTTCGAAGTTTGTTGTTTATGACAAGGTAACCGAATCCGTATTGTTATTGGAATGATATATATATATATATATATATATATATATATATATATATATATGATATATAAAGTGTGTATTATATTTAGTGTAGGGTTTAAAATGTAGTGTTGCAAACTCTGATTATCTCCACAATGATATATATATTTGGCCATCCTTATTTAATGTGATATTAATTTTGGAAGGATGGGATTTTCGGATAACTTGTGGGAATCCACTGTTATTAGGTTGAACTTAAGTTTCCCCAAGGACTTAGTCATACTCAAGACATAGCCCCGCATTTGTCTATTTTACTATATTTTGCAGCTAAGCAAAACATGTTTATCTGGACAAGAACAAGTGACCCCAGTCACTTCAGATGATACAAGTTCACAGTCACATTTTAAAAATCACTTGTGATTGAAATTGATTTCGTTGTTGTTTATTACACTATGTGATTGACTTTAGTTTTAGACAGTTACTAGTTGTAGTTATATTTTTTTGAATTTCAGACTGATGATAGTGGTGTGCATATGCACGATCCAACTTTATTTGATATTGACACTGACTCTGCCTTAAGCGCCGATGGACCAAACAAGTAGGCTAATGTGTTTGTCTCTCGTGTTGTTTTTTCCATGGTTCTTTTGTTTAATATCCGGCTTTAGTAAAAGTGTGTTTTGGTTGATGTTATTGTGCAAATAAGTCATATTACGATAAGAATATCTTTTTCATACCATTACCTAATTTCACGAAGTAATTATTTAATTACTTGATCGGTGTTTGGTTCACTGAAGGAATATTGGAGTTCTAAAGAGATGGGTTAGATTTTATCTCTCATAGATAAGTTTGGGTAATAAAAAGAAAACTAGTAACAACAAGTAATGAAAAAACCACGATTTAGGAAAATAATTATGAAATGAGTAGATCCATCAACGCTATCTTATCCTGTTCTGCTCCATATAGTCTGATCAATAATCAGCATATTCTTCACTGTCTACCATTATAAGTGTGTAGTGTTTCATAGGTTGGTGGTGTCGAATTGATCACAGCCAATTCACCATTGTGCCTATACTCATTATTACGTGATACATGAAGTACTCATTAGATGAAGAGTGCAAACTGAAATATCTTTGAGTTTGATATTTATTATTGGAACCGTAACTACGAGTTTATTCACCATATGTAACGCAAAAAGCAACTTGCTTCAGCGACTTGCATTTTCTTATTTATTAAAATGTCTAAAAAGCAACTTTATAACTTGAGATATCAACACCTTTTGTATCGTAATCTGGTAATTTCTATAATAAATATAGCTCACCTTATCGTTGTTTACTCACATCATATCTTGTGTGAAACGTATATTCGTTTGGGTATCAATGAATGAGTATATTGTCAAATAGATCATCTTGATTTACTTTACTGAAGTCAAAACCAATTTTTGGGGATACAGGAAGTGTGGATTTGTCAAGCGTTTGACATAATCGAGTGAATACTCTTGGAAAATAGCATGTTCAGCCTGTACAATCCTGCCCAAAATACTCAAGCGAATAACAGATTTTGAGACAATATATTGTAACTTCATGAATCATACTAAATCATATATATATATATATATATATATATATATATATATATATATATATATATATTACAGCTTAATTGAAATGTATTTATTTATTTGTTTCTAACTTAACTATAGTTTCTCATCCAGGTAGTTTACTTTTTATCACTGTTAAGTACAATGATAGCTTTGTTCACTAAGTACTTTACTCGTACCATGGTTTAACCCTAAATTTGAAATTCATTATTCTTATGATTAAACCTCATATTTGACTTTTTTTCCGTTTTTCTTTAAAAACAAAATGAATCAAATAATTCTAACACTGTTTGCTGTATTGCCCTTCGACAACTCACAATCTAATCACTGTTATTACCATTATTATCATCATTATTGCTTATGTTTGTCTAACCCGATTCATTCCTGTCATTGCCGCTGGGTGATTTCATCATTGTATCAATAATAATGATGATTATTCGCCTACTTCTGTTGTCGCTATTATTACTATAATTACCACTATTTTGGCCGCATTGTTGATGATTGCACCTGTTTCGGAAACTTGAAATTGCTTTACATAAGTTGTAGTACCCGTTTGCAACGGGGTGAGATTAGAAGCAGTTGGCCAAAGCATAGGTAAGTTCCTACTTTTTTCTCTTTTGTAGTTTCTTACTCATTGGTTCTCTTCATTCTTGAGAAACAAAATGAGGACACGTCAAAGTAAAATCCCATTAGGGCGGTCAGCTAGTATCAATAGCTCTCACAAATAAAGTAGGACTTAAAGCCGCGTACACTGATTTATCACTTAGTAAAGTGAGTTAAATTAGAGTAAACGGGGTAATCTAATCAAATTTTTATTCGACTATCTAACAATTCAAACCAATTAGTCCCTTTTATAAATTTCTATAGAACAATGGAAAGACGAATTTAATCTGAAAAATGTGATATATTTGCTCTATAAATTTCGAAGAACAAATATATATGTGATCAAATTGTTTGAAATATGTAACGCAAATACATCACATTTTTCAGATCAACTCCGTTCTATTGTTTTATCTATATTTAACAATTTGTATGTAATCTGACTTTTTCTAAACATAGAAATATAACTGTGTTTCATGTGTTTTGCTGTTTTTTCAAATATATTATCATTTGTAAATTGATGATTGGGTCTGTAGAGGATTTAACATTTCACAGAAAGTAAACCTGTGAATATGTATAAAATTTAATGGAGCAAACAATTATTCAGACTAAACTAAATAGTACGTGTTGATTGATCTAGTAGTCAAGTAGCAGATTGGTGCAAAAGTCTATTTATTCTGTTTTAGGGGTGAGGAATGGATATTCAAACTTTCTTTGATAGTTGGCCCTTCGCTTCTCTTCTCAGAAACAAATTTTAGATGATTTCTGAAAGTTGTACAAAATAAATTCTTATTTTTTTTACGAATTTCAAATAAAGCAAACTCAATCTTTTTGAAACTTATCTACTAATGCACTGTCAATTTTTTCGAATAATCTGTGTCAAATAAGTACTGATTCTAAATATAAGGATGGATTTATTTTAATTGTTAACAAATATTTTTATTTTACAGATTTCTTTTTTTTGTTCATTGACTTCATTTGAACCAACATCATTTCAACTGTATTCATTATTTGTTAGGTACAGTTTGGGCTACCTGTAAGTGTTGTGCACTGTGGAAAAAAAAAGGAGTTTTAGTCTCTTTGTATATATATATATATATATATATATATATATTTCTGTCTACCACTAGCCACTTCCTCTCTCTTTCATTTTACAACTTGATTCATATATGTACTGTAGCATGTATTCATTCATTAATCAACTTACTGTTCATCTATTTGACGATAAGTTTAATTCTTCAGTCATTATTCTGTTATACAATAGGGTATAGTTTAATTTGTTCGTGTTGTAGTTTGTATAGAGTTGAGTTCGAGAATAACGACGATTGGTGGGGGATAAGGGATGAGCTGCCTTCTAATAAGAGAGGGAAGCTATCTCGATTGGATATAGATCGAACGACCAATGAACAGCAACGTTTGTCAACTGTACTCAAGTAAAAAGAGAAAAGATTAGACTTCGTAAGACAACTTTTATGTTTCAAGTAAAAACTATGAAATGAACAAACATTACAGTATATCTGATATTCTGCAAGATAAAGAAACCAATAGGAATTAGTGTCAACTAGGTGGCATTATCACGCTGAAATAATATTTTGTGAAAGGTTACAATAGTGTTTGTTGCTGTGACAACCTCAACAAGTCATAATGTTGATGTGTAGATCAACTCCAACAGTTTGTCAGCCAGAAGCATGTTTTTATTCAAAGTATCAAGAAATATTCTGCTGGATCAAATTGGTCGGTCTGGTCCGAATCGGGTAGATGTATTAAGAACTGTATAATTATTTGACTTTAGATTGTGTTAAGCTAAAATTTCGAACTTCGCTGTAATTATTTCGGTTCAATCAGGTTAGCAGTTGTTTAGTTTAGAGCTTAATATACCTACCTCTGCTGGCCTAATGAATTCCTTAAAACGTGAATCCGTGTACATGAATTCTCTTTTTACGATGACTTAGGTTTACTGTAATGACTATGCAACTTAAGAAGTCTGTGATACAAAGTAGATTACAATTATTTGAATAAGTTTTCTATGAACAGATGTTACAAGGTCCTTCCTCTACTATATTGTTTTGTAGATGTTGATAGTTTCTAAGTATTTACTTATTTTGAATGATAGAATTCGCCACAAAATAACCTCAGTTAAGCAACCATTGAGAAGTTAAACACAAAAAACTCCAAGTTTATATTTCATTTTGTGTGCTATTTTGTTTACTTTCAGTTTTATTCAAGACTTTTTTAAAACATTGTTTTCGTTCATTTGTCAAGCGTTCACTTTCTACATCGGTTTTCCTAATCAATCTTATTCTCACTGAGTAGTTGGGGATTTTTCGACGATAGCTAATTCACAGATTCATTAGTCAATCAGTCTCATTTATCACACAAAGTTACTTGTCCTTTAACGTGTTTCCAGCATTTGAGTATGTATGTAGTGTATCGCAGTGTGTAGTAGTAGTGACACGGTTCCATAACATATATATGGGATTTCCAGTCTCACAGTGTTTCATGCATATAACATTTTTTTCTGGTCGGTAAACTACGCATGTTTGTCATTGTCATCGTCATTGCTGTTGTTGTTGTTGTCGTCAAGTCCTCCAAAAGCATTTCTACAATGTTTTTTGGTATGTTTAATAATTAATTTTTTAAGAAATAATTAAACTGCGTATGCTGATGAATAAATAAACGAATATATATACTATATTTTCTCATCTCTTTTTCACGGGATGTTGGTAGGTTGGTGTCTATGTGATTATCGGAACCAATGGTTTGAAACATCGACCAGCATGACATAGAATCAATCCTAATAGCACAGATGTTGCACCTCGGATCTTGAGATCTAAAGTTACCTTTTACATTTTTATCCTGCGAATTCGTTCATTCTTCTCGGGTCAGATTATCTATGGCTAGTACTGTCGCTATTTAAACTATCCCGACATTTGTTAAGATAATTTAATCTCACTGTTCCGATGATGAGGTGTGACGACTTGAACAGATGCACGTATTTACCAGGATCTATGTTGGTTGGTTGATCAATTGATACCTAAAGATTGTAGGATCATATAGTAGCGACGACCTTGAATGGTTGTCAACCGATTAGAAAACAGCCTAATTATAAAATGATTTATAACAAAAGTTAATAAAACGAGGTTGGGTAAATAGTCATAATTTGATGAAAAAGCGAATTAGGAGTCTGAGTAGAAGCAGGAAGTAAAGCTGGGAGCTAGGGTTAGTAGTTATGTGATTAGGAGTTAAGGTTAAGTTTATGAGGGTTTGAAGTTACGGTTAAGGTTGAGATATTGCTTCAAAGTGAGCGAATAGTTTTAAGTCACAAAAATACCCTTGGCCATTGCATGAATTACACAAAGTATGCTCAAATACAATCTGGAGTTAGTCTAGGTATTTCCTCTGATTTAGCCTATGTAGAATGTCACATCTATATGATTATAGGAAAGATATCTTGAGCAACTTTAAGCATTTTAGAAAGCGTTCTATAAGATACATACTATCCTGCACTGCATTTTGAATTTTGGACGGAAGACAAAAGGGGCTATGTTAAGGTGGTCGCTATAATATAGTCCTGCTCCTAGAGACTTTCTTCCCTAAAGATAGTGCTTGAAGCATAAGGGTTTACCTTTTTGTCCTAATTTTTTCTTGTTCCACATCTCGTGGATGATACTAAATTTCTACATAAAATTAGATGGAAACAGTTCTCTTCAGTTTGAGTCTGTTCTTTTCTGATTGTACTATATTGTTAAGGACAAATCTTCGGTTTAATTCAAGAATTGGTCCTAGACATCTGTAATTAACTAGGAAGAACTAGGCCCCTGTTTCATCCCATTGTCTGACTCCTTAGAAGTGCACGACTCTATCACGGGAATCAGACCTAGGACCTTGTTTCATTCTAGGACACAATCTCTAGACTAAGATCGGCTCGTGGAAATTCTACAATCTCCATAATCACTTCCTATATTGATAATAAGCACAAATGTTTTGTTATCTAATATAGATAGACGGTAATTTAATTTTTCCTGTTTTCATTTTCATAAATCGCACCGTTTGAAAAACAAATTCTGGTTGTTTTGCTTTATTGCATTGCATGAAAATTATTTGGTGTTAGACCACTTAGTGCCACTGTTCTAGATTTTTCTTTAAAAGTATAGGGTTGCTTTTTTTCATCCATAGGTTTTATGTGGTGATAACTTGTTACGAAAATGTACTTTCTAGTTATTATATATTTATTTTATAGTAACTCATTTATCCAATTATGTACAGGTTTACGTATTCGACTAAGTCACGTTATTTGAACGAAGCTTAATGACACTTTATTGGATTATTAAAATCGAAGTAGACCAAGTGGGATCCGAGCCTACAGCTTGTTAGTTGATCGAACGCGTGTTGGAAATAAAAGATGTACATATGTTATTGATATCCTTGAGGAGTATGTGTATGATAAAATCATTGAATACATGATATTCTTATTGTGTATCGAGCAGTAGCTAGATAAAAATGATTAATTGCCTAGCAAAGTCGTTGATTTTTACCAGCAGCTATCATTCATACGCATCTACCACCGACCTCAATGTACTGTGGTGGTCAAGCTATGATCGTATGGTTTCTGGTGTTAGTTTACATGGGTCAAAATATTCATTGACTGTTAGATAGACGTATTCAGATTTTTAAATTTTCCTCTGATTCTGTAACATCGAATCCTATTGTACACTTTTGCTTTATTTTCCGTTCTAGCTCTTTACCGTTATTAGTGTCATTATCATTCATTCCCTTGATTTTATTGTAACTTAGTCTCTTCTAACTGTTTTGACATGATATGTGGCGATTCGCACTGACCTACATTTTCCTGTTATTCTGTAAATTGTTCTATTTTGTTGTTTATTACAGTTGACACGAAAGAATATAGAAAACAGCTTCAGAAAAACGTGTCATACCAGTTCACCGTCGTCTCATCTTTCCACCATAATTGATATATAGTGATTATGATATCAAAATCTGTGATGACAACCATTTTCAACTTCTAATCTTTCAACCATATATAAGTGGTTATCTTCAAATCCTTATGCTCAATTATCTCTTTCTCTTAGTAATTTTTAGGGGTTGTAAGTGTTCTCTGTTTTAGACCTGTTTAAATTTGTAAAGTCAACTAGCGTAAAGTAACTATGATTGAATATTGCATAAAAGTTTGGGAAAAAATGTGAAATCGCAATATTTCAGTTTTGCGGGAGGTCAGTCGCTGCCAAAACAGCTCAGTATTATTGTCTCAGGTTGTGAGGCTGGGTAATATGGGATTTAATTGACCAGAACGCATCAGTTCCTCCAAGATTACTGTACACCTTGTTGGCGAGTATTAAATAGCATGAAACCTGGACCCTAGGTTTTTTGTCGTCTACCACGAACCATCTAATATCTAAACATAGTACACGTGGTATCGAGTTACTTGAATTAGTGGCCATATTGCAACTTGATCACTTCTCAGTGACTGGTCACCAGTAGGACTGAATGAATTTATTAATTTCGGGGCTGGCGGCATTCTGGGTAAGATATAGTTGCGAAACAAATATATTTCATTGTTTATCGAGCGTGAAAAGCATTACTTTTGCTTGCTGAATGGGTCTCACGTGAAGACTTCCATTCACATCGTTTGCTTGCAAATTCGAATCCCACTCCATCTACTATCTCAGTTTTACCAATCAGATAATATCATCAGTCTACACATTTTCAACAATATACAGAAAGACATTTTCCAAGGCCTTCAAATAAAAAATTGGACCTGGCAACTAAGGTTTACATCATTATGCTGAATCAGTCGCTAAGGAAATTTCGTGAAACTGTTTGTTTTCAGACTGTGTACGTGTCACTTATTTATTCACAAGGTGTTTCGAATTTACTAACATTCATATTTCTAAGTAGATAGTCATTTCATGAGTGTGCGATTAAAGGAGAGAGAACGTAGACGTGCTTGTTGTTAATTAACGTATATTCTGGGATATATACATGCTTACAAATTACCTTTTTCTCTATCTCTTCAATTTCCTATATTCTGTTAATATAATGTTACACAGGTATTATGTTTCCATTGTATTATTGTAATCTCACATAAATACATATTATATATTGCTTTGAATACATGTGAAGTATGATCTTTAATAGTGAGAATATGATCATATTTAGGTGTATATGTGTGCATGGTATACTGATGATCACCTGTTCTATTACTGTTACTATTATCATTATTTTTATTATTATTGTCGGTTATTACATACCAACATAAATGCTAAGTTAAAGTGAATTTTATATTTATTAGCACAGGGGGATTGTGGAAGTTGTTGAATAGAGTTTTCATAGTTTACATCACAGGCTGATCTTAATTAGTTCATGATGTAAACTATAAAAATTCAGCAATCTCTACAAACCCGTTATACTGATAGTAATCATGCGCTCACTAGTGGATAACTTCGAAATGACGTTCTAGGATTTCCGGTGAAAAACTCTGACCAGTGCAGTCCGACTATGTCGGATGTGAGATAGTTACCCACTAAAGGTAATGAGATATGGTCGCTCAGTATGTCGAGTTGGTTGAAGTTAGACATGGCCACCATATGATACTGGTTCAGTGGTCTAGAGGTTACGCATTCGCGAGCAAGACAGGGTTTTGGATTTGATCTTATGTAAGGTCATGGATGTACCGTATTGACGAGTCCCATATTAGGATTGGTTTCTAGTTTTCAGTGGTTATCTAACCAAAGTCAATCCATAATGTGGAACAGTTAGTTATGATAAATCAAAACCAACATGTAATGAAACAAAAAGCATAATAATGGTGCAATATATATGTTATTTGTTTTACACGGACATGTATGGAGGAATTCAACTTTTTCTTCCAATATCTTAGCCCCATTCTTTGTTTGTTTAAGATATTTTGACCATTTGTCATTTATTCAACCATTCATCAGCTTAAGACTACTCACCAAATATGTGTTGGTTTAAGTTGCTAGATGTCAGATTAGCATATCACACATGAGAGAGGCAAGAAATGGGAAACACATATCAATTGCAATCAAAGTTTCAGCAGGAAAAAAACAATTTTTTAAAAGGAATCACTTAGACCGAGAAATGTAAAGTTAAGAGGAGCGTTACTTAATTCAAGATTTGGTGAAAGTTAGTGAATGAATATAACTAGTTGAGCCACTGTAACGTTGATTTTAGCCCCATGTTTGGTACCCAATGTTACTAACCATTAGTTTCGAAGAGTCCTCCGCAAGGATGACTACAAGTATTTTCCGGAAAGATCTTTTATTCAATTAGTTTTTTTAAAAGTTATTAGTAAATAGATAATTTCCCTCTACTTCACACTTTAACAAACTATCTCGTTATCCACCGTTTTGTCCTTCACTATTCTGCACTTTGAATGGCATCTTATGATTTAAATAATGACTAGATTCAATAAAGTGTTCCTATCACTTAGGCTTAGACCTTGTAAAAGTACATGAATTCTCTAGCTAACAAGACCTAGTGGTCTCATATAATTGTCAAACCTATCGTAAAAATGTTCCTAGTTGGATAGCGGTGTTCACGTTTACTTTTTTCATTTTAATAGTAAAATAGTAGTTTATTGCCATCATTATAATTTCTAGTCCTCTCAAGATTGTTTGTCTATCTCTGTTTTATCGATGCTGTTTTTATTAAAGGGTGTGGTAACACACTAGTCTGATGCTACATTGTTCTTTATATATATATTAGTAAAACATTGTTAATTCTCTTCTATTTATCTCATGAATCAGTTCTTTTTGTTTTACTCAATATGAGAGTAAATTCGTGTGAAATTTATTTGTGGAATATTATTATTATTATTATTATTATTATTATTATTATTATTATTAATCACTATTGGAAATAATACGAGTAAAATAATTGAACGTTGATCGATGGTATTTTTTTATGTTCAACGAGTGACGCGATTTATTCTATATGTTCGGAAATAATCTATGATGATTTTTTTCCTTTATAATATGTTGACCATGAACATGGTATATTATCGATACTGTACTTGTATGTTTGTTTATTCTTTAGTGTGCTACTTTTAAAATTATCTATTACTTTTTATTCCATGAGTTAGTTCTTTCTTTTTGAGTTATTTTGATCATGTTTACCTGCTTCGGTTTGGGCACCCGGGCAGTATCACAGCCCTCACACATATCGAATGAGATTTGTGTGGCGCATATGTATTTGGTGCCTCCTTGTACCAATGTCTATGTGTTAAAATAAATAAATAAATAAATAGTTCATGTTTGGGCATTTTTATTATCATTGATAATGTTACTACCACTATTCTGATATTTGTCTCCATAATTTCATCTTGTTGTGGACATATAGTGTGACAGCTTGACTCGATGATGCACACGCATGCCAAGAATTTTGACAGTGTTCAGGGGGAAATAATAAGTGTAGGCGCATACCTATATTCTAGTGTTAATGCTCACGTTCGAACCCGTACCCGGTGCCTCTGTTGTCGCAATCGCCAACGATTTATTTACTTAGCTTCTAAGTTCAAATATCTATTAACGTGTTCATCCGGTATAGTGTTTATTCTCAATAATTTGTATTACCTTATTGTTGTTATTCAATACTGAAATTTAATCACTCCTTATTGGCATGATTTTGTTACTCCTTATTTGTTCTGACTCATTCTTTATTTGCTCGCCATATTATCTCTATGTCGTCTGTTTTTAACTCATCAAATTTTCTCGAAATCACGTTCTCATCATTTATCAATACAGGATCTCTGGTACAAATGTGTACCGGTACAATTTACCACATCTGACGTCAAGATACCAAGAATAAGTTACGTACTAAATAATGTGCATAATACACTGACTTCATCAAGTTGTACTTTTGAAGATATTGTCATTCGTGTTTGCTTAATTACGGTTTGCGTTGTTGTTCTTATTATTGTAACTCAAATAACATTGTTTTTTACCGTAGTAATTATAGGCTTTTTTATAAACATTCCTAGTTTTTTTCATTACTTCTCAGTTTTTCTACCAATAATTATGTTGTTGACCGCCCATTTATTTATTTTTCTTCAGTGCAAATCCCTTATCAAGTCTACATCATGGTCCAGATTCTCCAGCGAGCGCTTCACAATCGGATATATTACTCGGTGATATGGAGTCTAATTTTGAATTGATTCGAGTAAGTACTTCTGTTAGTCATTATGTGTTTATATTGAAATATAATACATTAGTTATAAGTAATGTAGAACCTGGCACACGTGTAAATGATCAGTTCAACTTCACATACCACATAAACACAGCGAGTAATTGAAGTAACAGCAATGTCAGTGGTAGAAGAGAATATCAGGCATGAAAAATATAATTCAAGGGGGAAGAATAAAAAGATTTTAAGACTCAAAATCTTAGGGAATACAAAGAGTGAGTGCTTCTGTGTAAAATTCGCACAGATTCTGTTCCATATCATTCAACGTCTCAAACTATTGGTTACGACGACTGCACAGACGGCAACTTGCTAGTTTGCACCTACCATCACGGCTCAGTCAAACAGTTGCTGTCTTCACGGACAAATGTTATGTCTTGGCTTGATCGCTCCTAGCTTTCTTCCAACCTACCTCTACACCAAGATAACATCGTACATCTACGTAGATGATGGTTGGGAGTGTGATACATGTTCCGACCACTTCAGTTGATGAAGGTCCACAGCATATTACCAACCAATTTTTTACCTAGTACACTTTGTCTAACCTCAGCATTGTTCAATTGGTGGTTCCAATACACTCAGGTGATGAAGTATTGCGTAACACTTAACTGTAATTAACTTTGTTCATTTATTTTCTGCTTACCATTTATATATTTCACCATTTCTCACTTTCACAATTGGTCCCATGCCACTTGAATTTATCTTCTCTCTACATCTAAATTTTTTTCACAATTTCACTTTTGAATTAAAGGATCAAATGCGCCGAATGGAAGAACGTGTAGAAGGTCTAAAAATCAACAGAAATACTGAAAGTGAAACGCGCTTAGATCGTTTACGTGAAGAGAATGCTCGTTTAACTGCACAAATCACTGTTTTAGAAGAACGTCTTAAAGAGGCTGATGCAAGGTCGAGCCGTGCATTAGAAGCTGAACGACAGCATATGCAATCAATTTTGGTTAGTCGATATTGGTTTCTTTTTTATCTCCTTAGTAAAACAGATACCTCAACATGATTATAAAATAGTATATTAGTAATATTTTTTTTCTCAAGAAATCACTCACACTAAATGGTAAAATGTTAACAATTCATCTTTTTAAAAGAAACTTTTATTCTATATTCAGTCAGTCATTTAAAACGTAGGACCAGGGACTTATATGCACCAGTCCAAGTTGCAACACCTCATTAGCACAACAAGATTAACACGAATAGTAGTGATATATAAAAGAAAGATTGTGTATAAGGATATAATACAGGAAGAGAGAATTAGTTCGTAGAAAGAAAGGTATAGAGTAATTTTTATCTCACGTTTTAAGGGAAGACAAAGAGTGTATATACCCACGCAATTATGATCGATTCTGAGCCATGTCACTCAGAGTCTTCAACCGTTGATAGCGATAGTCACGCGGACCCCAACCAAGTAGTCTGCATCTTCTAACATGGCTCAGACTAGAAGTTAGCGACTTCATAGACTGATGCCACGTTTTGGTTTGGCAGCCTCTAGCTTTCTTCCAACCGTGTCCAACACTAGTCAGTATTGCGCATCGTGGTAATCGGTATTCAGGCATACGTAACACGTGGCCCAACCATCTAAATTGATGGAGATATACAACCTCATCAACTGATTTACCGTTATTCCCTAATACTCTGCGTCTAACCTCTCTATTACTTACCCGGTGAACTCAGCAGATTCTGGCAATATTTCTAAGACATCTGTGATCAAATACTAGTAGTTTACGGGTATTCTCTACCCTTAATGACCATGTTTTACAGCCGTAAAGTAGAACAGAACGAACTGCTGCTCGGTCTACTCGTCCTTCGATTGATAGACGGATATATCGCCTTCGCCATGGGTAACATAATTAATATTTCTAATCGTGACTTCCATTTGGGAATCAATACATGAGCTTTGGATACTGATTGTTTCATTTTAATATGTCGGACTCTTTCTCAATCGATTGCATATATCCTTGCAATGATTCAGTTTATAGATCAATTACACCTTATTTTGTGAATGGATTGCCTTTAGGTTACTACTGAGCAACGATGGTGGGTCAGTGGTTAAAAGGCGTTCAACTTTTAGCTGTAAAGTTGCAAGTTGGAACCCCCTCTATTTTCGTTACTTCGGCTTAGACAGTCGGACAGTATCATTAGCCTTCATATATAAAGTCGTATTCGAAGCCAAGTACACAAATGAGTACCTGGTAAATGAGTGAATAAATAAGACCTTCATGCTCATTGTCCTACATTCAAATGTAGCAATGTTTGATGTTAATATAGTGGCTAATTATGAAAATAGTAAGGATTATTCGTGTGTATAAGATCATTTTTCCTACTTTTGGGAATATTTCCACCAATAGTGTACTCCTCAGCATTAAGTGTTTATGTCATGCAATTGGTATGTATGTAGTTGTATATATGTATATGTATATGGTATGTATGTATGCATGTGTGTTTGTAGGAGCTTCTTAGTATGTGTATGCAACAGATGATGGATTCATGTGACATATTTACATAGTTTGCCTATTGTTATTCTATTTGTTTACTCATTGCATGGAAGACTTTTGGTTCTGGTTGCCAGTAGTAATCATCATTTTACACCCAAATTATTGGATAATGATGATCATAAAAGGAAAGAAATTTAGGCTGGTTATTTTCTCTCTCTGTAAAAACAATTATTTGTGGGAGAAATTTCGTTTTATGATTATGATATAGGCATATTGTTGAAGTAAAGTGATTGTTATTACTTGTATATTTTGTCCAATTGTACATTGAGTACTCTAGTGATTATCACATATATACAACGTGGGCTATTTTTTATTAAGATAGCTATCCGGTTACTTCCCTATCTAGCCTTTAGCTGTTATCCTCAAATCACTGTGATTATCAGTTACGTTTGATGGTCTACGTGGGGTTTCTCACAGGCCTTCACTTTGTTACGTGTGTCAATATTTATCAACACGACAACTCAGAATATTATTGTTGTCACGAACCGATCTGAGTTAAATAACCATTGAAAACCTGTATGTACTGGACAGCCGATTTGTCTAAGTATAGGACTCAGCAGTGCTTGTCTGAGGTTTGGCGACTGGGATTCGAACTCATGGCTTGCCCCGTTCACGAACTTTCAACTTCTAAACCACTGAGCTGTGGTCCAATCATGCACAGTTCTAACTTCAGTCTATCCACGATATTACACAACCACCCTCTTTTGTTTTCTCTGGGTACTTCCCTCATACGCGACACTATTGAACTCCACTTGTTACAGCTTCTCACTAGGATTCTGGAGCTTTCCTGTAGAAGATAGTCACTAGTAGTACGCATGTGATAATTATCGGTATGGGGTTTGTGATTTCAATAAAACTCTGTCTCCACAACCTCGTACTGTCAGTTAAGATAGTTGAAGGAGTAGGTGACAACTATAGTTCATTTGAACGTTCACCATTCAACTTTTATGACATCTCTAAATATTTTTCTGCTGAGACATATTATTGGTTTCACACCTATCTCATTGACAAGAGACTTTTTGCTTCAGTCGTGTTTCGTTTGAATTGGGAGATTTTTGAGTTGCAGTGTTTTTATTCTTATATCAGTGGTGCGCATTATGACCAGTGAGATGTTAAAAGGAGTCCACTAAAAATCAGTACCTATAATAAGTGGCATATTTTTCCATTCTGTATACTGTAATTGAAGTGAGTACTCATCTATGATTTTCTATCAGTTGATCACTAATATTAACTGTTTGTCGATTTTTTCGGTATATTTTGTTTTATTGCCAAGTAGAGTTTATTTGATAGCATTGTTTTGTCTAGAATGACGGCTTCGCTGATCTTTAAAATTTTGGGTATGAGTTTTATGTACACTTTACTGTAATTACAGTCCAGATATGTTTTCCAAGACAATCAGTAATGTTGTGCATATTTATACTAACAGCTACTAATTATTTTGTTTGTGTTCATCTGTGTTGAGGTTTTTGGAAGTATATCAGTTAGAGCATTACTGGTGATTTTACTCGAATGCGGTTGCAATTTGGACAAACTTATGTCAGACACAATCCCTGTTATCTTTAATTTCTGTCAAAAAATCTCCACTTTTTCTCAAAAAGAAATTTCTTGTGTACAACTCTTTACTTAAATCCAGGCGACACTTTGAAATAAGTATTTTGTATCCAACATTTGCGACCATCTTTCTGTTCAGTTTGTGGATGATTTTTATATATTCGAGTGGTTATCTTCACTAAAGATTTCATTTCAATTGTTTGGAATTATTTGCATTTGTCTGCTATGAACACGTTAATGTGTAACGCAACTTCAGGTAAGGTAAGGTCCTAGATGAAAAATACAAACCGGTAAAAGTATGATATAGGAATGGGCTTAAACAGACCACGACGGATTTTCAGTCAGTTCTTTAGCTAATCAGAAAGCAACTTTTATAAATAAGATAGTTTCTGGAAAAGAAAGTCCTAATATTGCAAAGTTTAAATGGGTTTTACTTTCTAAATAGTTCTATTTAGGTTCTCTACAGGTTACTCTGCCTACAGATTGAAGAAACGAATACATAAATCTGTCTTTATGGATATAAAGTGTCCATCTTCTCGAACCCATATAAGTACCTAAATAGATTTGCAAGAGTCCCGATATTATTCCTAATGAGGATTAGGATAAGGAGTTAACAGTTGGGGTTTTCATCACTAACTGACAACAGCTATCATTCGAAAATGCTCTGTAGGCCATATGGATGAATGAATTTTGCTTAAAAATTCCTGAAGCGCTATTTTAGTTCGTTTATTAGATAAAGTGCCACCATGTTTAGGTTTGATTCAGTATTAAGGGTTTGGGGTTACTACTTAAAAATAATGTCAATGTTTGCCTGTTGTAAACAATATATATTAGAAAAAGTTCAACCTTCGGTACATTAAACACTATCAATTTTACTTTATGGTTGCAAAAACTAATTTACTGCTATGACTTTTAACATTTTGAGCATTGTATAAAGACATTTCTACTGCTCATCATTTATGGTATTTGAATTTCTCACATAAAGCTGACAGTTTTCTCGATCCTGATTAGCTTTTCCCTATATACCATACTTTTACCCCCACATCTAGTGGAAGTCGGAGGTTGAACTAAAATCTTTAATAAAAGTTATATTCTGATATACAGCACTCACTCATTAAATGAAAATAAATATGTCTGAAAATGCTGGATACACCATGTACTTATTGAATGTTTGAAATGTTGTGGATAACATCAACCATGTTATGGTATCATTGTGGTTTCATTTGCAGATGTGGGCTTTTATGGTTTAATTTTCAAGCGTCAAATACGGAACTACATTTTATCGAAGTTTTACTTAAACTCTATTTACATATCGGTTGGAACTTTTTTCAAGTGACTGTCAAGCTCTTTTCCATAACATATTTCATGATTCATTGATATTTCCATACTTTTTTTCTTTTCTGTCCAAACACTTTTTTAGTCACGCTCTTCGCGAGAACATACTCAAGAATCAGAAACGTTACGTGCTCGGATTATTTCTTTAGAAAGTGAATGTTCCGAATTACGTGTTCAGTCAGCTCGTATCAAAGCAGACAACCAAACGTATATTATTGTAGGTTGATGGAATATCTTTATTAATTTAAGTTAATATTTATGTACTGTAAATATTATGATATTTCTTTGGTAGCGATTTTTAAATGACGAATTTGTTTGAGTACTAACTAATTATATCATAACGTACCCTGGATTATTATCATCACTACTTGTGTATGTGAGAGCTGGGACAATACTCGGACGTTTAAACTGAGGTAGATGGTTCTCGAAGAACTATTAACGCTACAATGTCAAAAGACTGCCATCTTTACCAATTATATCCATACGTTATTCAATTGTAGAATTCTCTACTCATTGCATATCATTAGTTTAAACTCGGGTTTTCTAAAATCTTAGGTAAACGATCTACATTCGTACCAGATATCCTCTTTCGTAAAAACAAGCAATTCACTTCACGCGAATCTAATGGGTAGAATTTCATCAGAAGTTATGGACACGTGATTGTCTAAGATTAGCGTAAAACTGATTTGTAAAAAGGGGTTAATAATTTCCAGTTGATTTTTCAATTCCTTTTCGATATCAATTGAAAATGGTAAATTTTATATACAAATCAGATTTGCTACTTTTTTATATTGAATATGATCTGACAAAGTTTTTTATTTGATCCATCAGTCTATCTACAAAAATATATACTTGTTTCAATGCTGTCAGTCGGTTAGTGTATAGGTAATCTGCTATGTCTGCGTCTCGTATTCTTATGTTTGAAAAAACGATTAACCACCGCAATTCCCACGACACGAAAATAAGAACACAAAGACTGGTTCAAGTGAAGATTTACTAACCCCAAATCACGACGACGACCTTAGTCGAAAATACACTCATACGTTAGTTATACACTTATTTTAATTAATAATTAGAATAAAATCACATATATGAAAAATACCCAGTCAGTAAAAATGCATGTGATTCATGTAGGCTCTCTTTGTTCTCAAAACATTTGAATGGGACATTTCTACATACAGGGATATTGCAATTGGACTGACTTTGATGTACTGAAACAAGGTTTACCTTTTTGTATGTGACATTCAATTTGTCCGAATAAACAAAATAAATATCATCAGATGCGTTAAGTATTTTTAGATAACTGTAAGAAATACTGAAATTTGTTAACTACTCATCATAAATTTTCCCAAAACACTGGATAGTCTGTGCAAATTGATCGTATTTAAAATTTTTGAAGAAGTGAAATTGGCACACTTATTATCTTTATTTGACCTCAGCTTCCTGAGGTAAGCATGAACCTTTGATCCAGTCTGGTTCAGAGACTTTCATCTCAAACAAATCTTCATTTCTACCATTACAAGCATTGTGCATTACCCCGAATGTCGAACTGTCAGACTTTGGGACTAAATTTAAATTTTCCGATTGTGTGAACGACATCACTCTTGGGCATTCTGGTTTCGAGACTGTTTCGTGAACACTTGTTGTCTCAATTGATTCATCATAGCATTAGGTAGGGATTCTACGTGATATATTTGAGGTGTGAGAGCACTCACCATCTGCTACAATAATATCTGGAATTTGATCAGAATGTGACTTTTTTAGAACATATTTCTCACATTGACTAGAAGTGAATGGATTGTGAGAATAAACATCATACCATCGGAAATATAGTTAGATTTGGACCCATTGAGAACTTATGCTTCATACTGACCAAGGTTTTCACTACAAACAGATACATTGTGAGAATAAGCAAAATCTGGTATGATATCACCAGAATTTGTAGACCTTTTCCTCAATCACATAACTGTTCTTTATTGCTGCAGGAAATGTATCAGTTACTTCGTTTAACGTATCTATAATTTTTGATTGCGATTCCGGATTCGATTGTCTGAGCATATATTCCTTCAATGCATCGGTGAGCATTAAATGAGATCTAATTTACACATCTTCATTAAACTGTAGCATTGATTTTACTTCTGAAATTAACATGTTCTTATACTAGTAACTGCGTTATTTGTTGTAGTAGCGACTTGATAAAAGAAAGCAGAAGTATATTTATAACTGAACATAACAGGTTTAGGGGTAGGTTGAACTGACAACGAAGTTATAACTGGGACCACATAATTATGTTGAAAAACTGAAACGGGTAAATTGATCCTGTTGGCAGTTGTTATGTCTTTCTTTATTCTACAATCCCCATCACCATTTGTTATGCCAGTGTCGCTTATTCTTATGCTCGGAAGAACGAGGAACTACTACATAATCCTTTAAAAAAAGCATTGTAGACTAAATCTGAGTCTTTAAATCTTTACTAAATCTATATACTACAACATTTACGAAAAGACGAATAGTTTGTAAATAGAGTGAGTGACTTATTGACTTGGATTGTGGCTGGCTGTAGGATCTTTGACGCGTTTCGTCTTATTTAGAACTCTTCATACCCATTGAACTAGTTAATAGGTATTTGAACTTAGTAGCTTAATGAATAACATGTTAACATTCAAGTCTCTGTGTGAACAATAACAGTAGGATAATTTCATCCTACCAACAAGTCTCAACTAGAACAAAGGTCATATTCTAAACTTCACTGCTAGCCATGGTACAAATAAACTAAAAACGTGTAACAGAAGACAATATCGAGACGATCCGTTCAGATTGGGCACAGATATTAGTAGAAATCGGCTAACTGCAGCCAGAAACGGGCGAAATTACAAATCTTTACAAATAGTATAGTTAGCTGCTTACAAACACTCTTCAGTCAAACAAAAGACGTGTGAGAGAATAATTGTCGAAAGAAGTTCGTGTATCTTTGTAGATAAAGTCCAAAGACAATGTGTGGTTACGATAACCTTAAATCCATTTGTTTTCTTTTAGGCAATCGGTTTTTGATTGTTGTACATGTGTGCTTATGTGCGTCTTTCCATTGTTCCTCAGGTTATTGTTTCTAACACATTTAAATATAAAGAACATGAATAATATCCGAACAAATTATTTCAGTATGCATGAGTTTGTGGAGATTGTTTTCATTTTGCATCATAAATTAACTTTAGTGAGACAATTACTAGAAACCATAAAGTACCGGGAAGTTGTTTCGTCTTAGTATGGGATTCTCCACATTGCGTATTCGCATTATCACCGTGGGTCGAATCCGGGAATTTTAGGTCTGTTGGAATGGCTTTTGATAAACACAAAGGAGCCGAAGAGTCTCCACTCAGTCAAAATCTGATGAAGCTTTCTAGAATATCAGCACAGTATACTGCGATCACTGAATTTGGATTCAATGATTTACATTCTTAAATTCAAGTTGTTTCTTTTAAAAATATCTAATGTTTCCACTTAGGCAAGTCTTTTACCCCTCATGGAACATAGGCCACTGAACTAATGTTCACAGAGTCTAGTAAAATTAAGATGCCTTATGGTTTTATCTTTGCTGAAAAAGAAATATGTTCTAAAAGTTGTTTCTATGGGTTGGTCAGATATAGGTCAATATATATGTGTATACATATATAGTTTATGTCAAGAATCAATTTAAGTCAAATAACTATTGAAGACATGGATTTACTGGATGACCGTTTCGTCCAACCACAGGACTTCAGCAGTGCACATCCACGAATTCACAACCGAGGATCTAGGCCAGAACCTTCAGTCTCTCGTGCAAACGCTTTAACTCTAGATCACTGAGGCGGGATCCAATGGTGTACAGTTTTAAATTAAGTCAATCCACGATACCTTTCTCACACCCGCTTTATTTGTCTTTGTATTCCTGTCGAAAGTTTATTTTTTCTGTTCACCTCTGACCGCATGGGTGGTTGACATTTACTGTATAGGTTCGTAAATAGGGTCTGTGTTGATATTTCTATTGATAACTAAAAATTTACCTGAATACCCATGCTTACAGAAAATCCTCTAGGATTCTTTGTATTTCGTCGTTTCATGATTTTGACGTTCTTCTCTTGATTGAATTTATATCCGTTAATGCTAACATACATTGATATAAGTGAACATTTCATGTCGTTTTTATTTCCGGTTTATATTCATATATGAAAACACACACAATTTCAATGCATATCTGTTTATATTTTTACTTATAAGTTTTATAACTTCTGTCTTATTTATTTCTGCTCTAAAAATATCCATCTCGCCATGGTGTTTAGGATCTTCGAAGAACCAATGAACAATTAACTGAATCACAAGAACAAGCACGTAGTTTTCAAGAAGAATTAAAATTATTAACGACTAAACATACTAGAGAAATGGAAGTTCTTCGAAAAGATCGTGATCATGCGGTACATGTAAGTTGCTACTTACTTGGGTTTAATTAATACTTGATTGTTTTCGTTATGATTTCTGATAATAATTAAATAAATAAAGGATTATTTGAATGGTTTTTGTGAAGAATAATTTCTTAATTTTTAGACTGTATTCGTCTGAACTTCGCCAGTCACAACTAATTACTTCAAGATGTTCCTCAAGTTTGAGTGAGAAGTCGTAACTGTGATGGAGTTCAGATTTGTCAATAATAAAACGATTCTCACCTAGGACATCGGGAGATTGTGGTACCATATCACAAATTGATTAGTAAAACATGACTAATCCACCGAATTCGGTGTTTTATGGTGGTGATACCAATTGAATTGTTAGTTTGTCAGAATGAACACTGTCAAACATCGGTATTGTCACCGGATATCGGCAATTCTTCTGAGAATTCGATGTTTGAGCACAGAGAATCATCAAATATCCGAGCTCGGGATGGTTTTAAAGGATCTAACACATGTGCTAACACGGATACCGATGTTTACAGTCAAAGTAACATCATGATTTCCTCAAAGACTGCTCAGTTCAGCTTGAGGATTTATGGCTTTTACCATCCATTGACTGAATCTCATCTCTGCAGGTATAAGGTTCTGTCATCTTTTGAGCATTAGTTTGCGTTTCAGCAGTTCAAAATGTTTGTCATATGTATGGATATAAATTAGTTAGTCGCTTTTTAAGGATTGAGAGGATGATCACTTCATTTTGAGATTATGGAGTTTTGAATATATGTTTTAGACACATACCTTGATACCAAAATTTTACAAATACATAGTCTTATCCGTCTGTTGTTCTATGTGCATCAGTGTGCATACATTGGAAGAGGAAGGCTTAAATGGCACATGTTGATTCAACTTTATTGAGACCAACGAAGTCACTGTCAACAAAACCAGAGTGCACTAGCCAGCTGCTTTGTCCTAGTATAGTATCAGTCAGTCAGTCAGTCAGCTACAACGTAGGACCAGGCACATATGTGCATCGGTCCAGGTTGCCATACCTCATTAGCACAGCAAGATGAACAGCGGATTCATAGGAGTGGTTAGGTCAAAGGTTGCAATAAGGATATAGTATAGGAAGAAAGGAACCTAGTATAGTATGCCTCAACTGCTATACATCCATCCAGCCTGTGATCGACTGGTAAGACTTTCAAGGTTTTTAACCAGTACAGTCACAAGATTGTCGTCTATTATTTACAAATCCACAACTTTAATCAAATCTTGATATAACACAAAGTTCATTGTTAGGTACTCGTCGCACGATTTCTAAAAGTCTTGAATTTGATGCACACCTAAGTTTTAGGTGTGCCTCCTCTACTAGTTATCCAATTGCTTTAAGTTCCCAATCATACACCAAATTTAGTCAATCAGGGATAAATATATCATACACTAATTGTATTAAGAAAAAAATGCAATAATCATGCACTAGAGAAAATATGTAGTATTATGTACTTATATAAAAAAGTTTTGTATTGTGATGTGAGTAATAAACAAACTAATCTTCACGGTTTATGTGCAAAATAAAAAAACACATTAAGAATTGAAAACATGTAGTCTATGTATATTGAGTTGTAGTGAATAAAAAGAAAGTATGTATATTGTACGGATTGAATAGTGATAATAATAATAATTTTAATAGTGAGAGGAAAAAAATCATGTTCTGAATATTCTAATTCATTTTTCTGTGGGAAGTTTTTTTTGTTAAAGTACTAAAAATGAATGTAAGTACATGAGAAAACAATGATCTACTTAACTTATGCCTACCAGTAATTGGTATCAAGTTAGTAGTATTAGTAGTAGTGGTGCTATATAACAATTGGTATTGTTTTTTTTCTTTTCTACAAGAATTACTAAATTTTTTTTTAAAAAAAACAACACACTAAAAACTACATTTATGTGATGAAATTGTAGTTAGTTATTGGACTACTCGATATTGTGTTCTCAGAGTTAAGTGGTTGAGTTGTAGAGATTTCAATAATTGTTCTGGACAATACTAGCAGTGTTTACTTCATATAAAGTTTAATTTATAGATATAGTGATAATGGAAGCTACAGAGTTAAGCTAATCTTGTTCAAAAATGCAATGTCACGAAAAAATCCACTTGTACTGGAAGTCTTCTCCATTATTTCGCAATAAATCATGTACTATTAAAACCCAACTCTACATATAATTCTTTCGTTCTGATAGTGGGGATTTCAACTAATTCACTTAATAATCTTGTCGTTTAATTTATTTCATTCAGAAGTTTTTTGTGGGGGTGAGATTAGATGAAGGTTGTTACTGGTTCCAGAAATCTACACATACGTGGATGTATTATGACTAGATTGTACTCAATTTGTAATTGGTCCCACTGAACCTCAGGTAAAAGAAAATGCGATAATATGCATAAAGATGTGGTTAAGTCGAAAAATACCTAAATATTATTCCTATTTGTGTATTAGTTTCTTTTTAAAATATATCTATGAATTATGTTCAGTCACCTTAATTTATAGCTTCTTTTTATAGGAGTATTTGGGATACACTGTTGAGAAGTATAACACTGTTACCTTTTTTATGGCTTCTGATATTTTCAGAAATACAACATACTTCTGAACTCATCTACTTCACTTTTTCTTATAGTTGTGAATAAGTAGTAATAATATTGCATTGTGTATATTTTGTTTGTTTTTTCCAGTTAATCACTGATAATGATGCTTTTCTTCTATTAGTTGATCGTATAAGATGCATTTAACACATCTTACATTTGTTTATAATTCTGAAACTGCTTTCACTTAGCTTTAGTTGCATCTCATTGATTCTGTTTACAATTTTCGAAATTTTACTGAGATGACAAAATGACCTAAATTAGACGACCACTGAAAATCATGGAGGACTGACTGGACAGCTGGTGAATGCTTGCTTAGAGGTCTAATGGTTAAATGGTCAGTGCGATACCTGAAGGTCCTAGGTTTGATCATTGGTAAGATTGTGGATGCACATGTTGAGATGAAATAGATGTTCAGTACTCCCTGGTATTCACCGGTTGCCTAACTTAGGCCGGTTCGTGATCTTAGTATAATTTATTATTCCCCAAGATCCCCCCTATACAGATAATCTTCAAAATATACGTAATATTAGATAGTTGCCGCTCTATTTCGCAAATTAATAAAAGCTTAAGTCGTGCCATTTGACGACAGCCCGACAATTCTATGGGTTGATTATTTTTAGCGAAACGTGACGGCTGAGTTTAACCACTGGAGGGTGCTAATTATGCACTGCTGTATGGTCTTGTACTAGTACGAAACAAGCTGCTTAATTCTCTGACGTTTTCAATAATACCGCTGTAAAACAATGTAATAGGCAGGAGGAATGCATATATATTACGAGAAGTATTTACAGAATACATACACATAGTCTTTAATCGTCCATTTGCATCTTTCGGTGTGGCCTCCAAATTTCCTGCTAATCCCATGCTTTCGATGCACCGAGTGTCTTCACTCCATCTGACAATTGCTGCAACTTTAATGCCACATTCCCGTTGCACACTACTTACAAACAACCTTGTGATTGGCATCCACCACATCCCAATTGTGATCATTCTATTATGAATACAGGCTACAGATCAAAAATTACATTCACAAACAATAATTTATATATATGTGCTTCTGTTTATATTTAGGTATTAGAAGAGCTGAATGGTTCTATGGGTGGTAAACGAAGAAGTCGAGTCGGTTCAGGTTCGGGTACACTTACAGCAGCCGCAGCTAGCACTGGTTCAACTGAAGTGTTAGCACGTTATCAAGAGGTTCAAGAAATTGTTCGTCGACTAACTGCTGAAAATAAAATATTACGACAACAAGTGGAGGAAGCTCAAGAAGAATTACTTACACAATCACTTCAACAAGGTCAAAGCTTAATACGTTCATCAGAGAAAAGTTGGGCTTCTGAAATAGATAATTGTACTAAAGAAGAGGTATTGTTCTAATTAGTTTTTTTATTGGATTTGGATTTATACGTATATATAAACCTAGTTTACTCATATGTAAAAGTTCAATGTGGCTATAAATGGAGTCGTGGAGTTTGAACGTCAACACTAGGATACAGGTACATTCGGTTGACGAGGTCGAAATTAGACGAAACGCACTGTCTGAATTCTACTGTTAGTCACTATCCAACTGTGCCCCCAAAATGCTTGTGACTAGTCCGACCAGTATGTGCATATACTAAAAGAAACTGATCAGTTGCAGTCCTTAACTCAGACAACTGAATTTTAACCAAACGTTTTCTGAAAGAAACTAATTTACCTAATACAATCTTGTGTACTCAGTTTTGAACAACATTTGTTTATATGATGGTTGGTAAAGTATGTGGTGTGCGTATCTGTGTGTATGGGAGTCGAAACTACAACCTGTGAGTTAAAAATCATATTTTTTTAAAACCACTCATCTATTGTCTCACATAGCGTAATATAATATTACTCATTTCTAGAGAATACTTTACTCTTTGTTACCATCAATTTTGTAATCAATCAATTTATGCTTATTTACAGTCAATTAAGTTTAAAATAAATGAATAATATTTGTGACCGGATAAAGTCAAATACTATCTATGTATAATAACTCCTATCATCATTTACTTCTATCAGATCAACTTACAGATCAATCGACAGTAGATAGTATACTTAAGAAATTAAATTTGTTTTCAGCGCCATAAATTGTTAGGCATTTATTTTTGGTGTAGGAACTCGCAAGATATTTAAGGCTTGTTGCAATTATTTTGTGGTCAGGAGTAATCACTAGAAAACCCTGGACTTAGGTCACATGCTAGTTACCGCTCATCAGTAAGGAATACCTGTAATCTTGAAGAAACATATGGTCCCTTTAGGATTCGAGCCGGCGTCATCTAGTTTCACAGTCTGAGATGTCACCAGTATTGAGCTATTTGGGACGCGATTAACCTCTTATAGAACCGGTATATTTACAGTTGTAAGTGTTTCTGTTATCTCGTTATTTTCATAACTGAACTGAATAGTTGAAAAGATGACTCAATATAAATTGTCTTCGGATATTGGTTATGTTACGAATCAATGTATATATATATTAGTATAGTGCAATAATACACTTCATTGATCAGAATGATGTGTACATATTGATCATGTGATGCTTGATTTGTGTGCGTCTACATGATCTTACACACATATGCATGTATATAAATGTATGTAAGAGAAGAGCATTGTATCTTGTGTGTTATAAAATCATCTCTTCATTAATTAAGCAAAGCATAGTAAAATAGTTTCAATAATTAATGTGTTGATGCCATTTCACTGTTACTGTTCAACTTATTATCTTTTGTAACGAATAAGATGATGATGGTAAACAAGGAGAAAAAATCAATAAAGTTTTGCTTGCTAAAGTCTTTGCTCTTCATATATATATATATATATATATATATATATATATATATATATATTCCGATCATTGTCATAACTTGTTAATTTACGTGTTGTACTCATGACATTAGCGGCTGAGGTTTTTTTAAAAATGGAATTTTACCTAAATTGTTGTCTGGTCAGTCAACTGATAATGATCTCGTGTTCAAAGGTATCAAACACTGAATGATAATCAATGCATATACTTTTTGGTACTAGGTTCTAGGAGATGGTCTTGAATCTTTCAAGGTCCTCTGTGTTCAACCATCTACCTTAATTTGCTATTACCAACTAGCTTTATTATTTCAATTACTAATAAACTAATGGAATGGTGACTTAATAGTTAAGGGCATTCGACTTTCAGTCGTCTCAGGTTAGAGCCACGCTTCACCTACTTCGGTTAGATCAAATGGCTAGTATCATAAGCTGTTACAGTTAGGGTGTTTCACACTCAGATATCCAGTGAATGTGTTAGTTTAATTTTTAAGTAGAGCAGTAGTTAGGATGTTAAAAATCTGACATCTAAACAATAGATCCGTACCTCTTACTCCAATCACCTTGGCTAGAACACTTGAATAACATCAGTCTAGAAAATTGTAGCTCAAATTTAACTAGACAAAAATGTGTATATTTACTACTATTTAGTGTAGGATCCTGTTGGAAAATGGATCACAGTCTGTTTGATTGAACTATTGATTTGTACCGTATTAGCTTATTACAAATTTGTAGTTAGTGCCTCCAAAATAAATCAAAGTATTATTTTAAGAGGTATTATTTATGAGAAAAAATAATGACAAAACACAGTATAACGTTTTAAATCTAATTAACTAGTGTGCAATTTCAATATACAAAATAGTTAATTATTGTATTTTAAAAAAATACCCTTATTTCATATTATTATGCTCAATCCAATAAATGTTAGTGTGATAGTAGTTTTTAATATTGTTTCCTACGGACCATTCGGGTTTCATCCGCATTGCGTTTTGTCGACAAATCATGTGTTGTTAGTATTCTGACTGAATATACTCATTTATTCTAAACTACATTTTCAACGGAAGAATCTTCAGTGAATCAACATAGCAACTAACAAATGAGTCCACTGTGTCTGGATTCTATTGTGTATGTACTTTGTGCAAAATATTTAACTTACAGTTAAAGCGACATGAATACTCGTAAATAAAACTGACGCTAATAAATATGTGGGTTTGAAATATACTTCAAGTTTACAATATTAATGTTGATCACCGTCCAGTAATTCTAATCTGAGATAAATATAAATTAGGTCAGGCACTTTTATACAACTTTAAAAGGTGTTATATAATGGATGAAATCCTGGACACAATGAGTAGTCCAACCTCAATACTAATATCAATAGGCAGGTCTTTGTCAAATCAGTAGGTTTTTTTATCGATATGTTAATGAGAACATGACTTTGTAGCAGTTGATACTTGTGAAGGCTATGGGTCGTTTACTGGTAAAAACCATTCAGCTCTCGACCTGTATGTCATAAATTTAAACTAATATTCGCGTACTTAAGTTTCGGACTATCAGGTAGCAACAGTAGTGTAGCTTCTAGCTGAGTACAGAAATCTTTACTTGAAGAATTAGTTGGCATAAGATACTTCATTATTTCAAGTGGTTGAAAGCAGCTGTCAAAAAACTCTAGACCTAGGTCTCTGTACTAATCTGCGCTCGTTAGAATGGTGTGTCTACTTGTTTAGTCGGCTTTCCGAGAGCTGCAACGGAGCCTCCAGAGGCCCTAAAGGAGCCGAAAAGTCCTAGCCAATCAGAGCATGATGGAGCTTTCTAGAATATCAACGTGGCGTGCTACTATTGGTCAGTAGCATAATGTCTTTTAGCGGATTGGCCAAAATATGATGTTGATTTAACAAATGTTAACATTGATGAATACCCGTGTTTTCTGTACGAAAATGAACCTTTGGAGTAAAGAATTTTTTTTTATTTTGCGCCTTTTCTCTTGAGTTCAGGTAGCTGCGTAGTTTTAGCTTAGGAATCGAATAAAGCGTTCAAATTAACAAAACTTATCAAGACTATCTTGATTAAGCTGATACTCCATGATGTAGTTGGACTTGTGTCACTCAGTTTCGCAGTCCGAAACGTTTTTATTGAATCTATTTGGGCCTCGATTTACCTATAGGATTGAGGTTGTATTCACAATTACTTTATCACTAATCATGATTCACTAGCTATGTATATATATACCATGGAAACTTGATGCAGTATTAGGAAGGCCTATGAAAAACAGCTAATATCTTCAACATTTCCCATGTTGTTTACAATCTACCTACGTGTGTTGATCTGTAAATATTTATTTATAATCATTAATTATTTTAGGTTGTCGAATTATTATCCAAAGAGAAATATGCAAATGAACAACTGCGTAAATATATTGACGATTTAATTACACGAATTATTGAACGACATCCATCATTGTTGGAGATTGCAAGTGGAGGGGGTGGATCATAGATTCATGCTGTCTATGAGTGTTTGCCGGTCCATCCAACTAACTAACTGATTTACTTATTACTTGGATAAAACTATACATATACAACTTTGTAAAAGAGATATTTTCTATTTACTTATATATATATATATATATATATATATATACTTATCTATAAATTTTATTTTCAATAGACTACTAATAACACCGAAAATACATATCATCAAATTTTTTTTCTATCATAAACAAAGCATACTAATAACAAGTACATAACCATATATGTTGTGAAGGAAGTGTTTTTATATTTCTTTGTTTATTCGATTGTGAAACTCCTTTGTCTTTCGTGTCTCTCATTTTTTATTATTATTTTCGTTGAACTATTTGTCATGTATGTTCTCTCTTTTGTTTGAAAAATGAAATCATCATCATTATTATGTCAAGCGTAACCAGAACATAGTGACAGTTAATTGCACATATTATCATTAATATTCCTACTAATAAGCTGTTTTTAGATTGTTGAATATGTTTTCACTAAGTGTGAAATGAAATCTAGTGATGCAAGCACTATAAAATTGCTTGTTCATTCTTACATTTTATGCCAGATTAACACGTAAATATTATCAGGATAATGTAAACATTCTGTGATTATTTAAAGTGTTTATGATTTTTTAAGTTTTTTTCTCTTTACTACTACTACTACTGTGTTTCATTGTTATATGCCTTTTTGTTCAACCATCAGTACTAATGTTAATAAAATAAAGTTGGTCTCTTTCTTGGAATTATTTTTGCTCAAAAACAAATAATTTATTTCATTCCCATGTCTTTGTTTTGCTGAAACCTAATTGATTTGAAGTAACATGATCATATTTCATTCGACCATCTATAATTTCTAGTCTTGTTTCCTGCGTGACATTTTGTGTGACGATTGTAGGAGAGTGAGAGAAGGGTGCTTCATTTCTTATGTTCATGGAATTATAGAAAATACTTTTTTTTATTTTGGGATCACCATTCATTAACATACTACTACCAATGCTATTAATACTATGCCTTTTTTCATGAAAACTTCCATTTATAGTTGAACTTATTATGATGATGAAATCATACTTACTCCTTTGCCAATTTTACTTTTGTACTGTTCTTATTTCTTGTTGGTATCGATTTTCTTACCTTCATAGTCATACATAGCCATGGAAATGCTTCAAAAGTAATCTGTTAACTGAATCCTTGTTTTTTTTTAAAAAAAGATAAAATATATGTACACATATATTATAGTGTATTTTTGCTCTGCCATTACCTTCCTCTTTTTATATTCATTTAATCTAACTGGGATGTTGTCTCTCGTCTGTTTCCTTGATAAATTCGATGCTTTTTCAGTTTACTTACTGACTTCTATGTTGTTTTCAATATTATTCAATTTTAAGCATACATACCTTGTAAAGAACTAGTGATTAGTTGCTTGTTTTTCATCGGTTGTCTGTTTTTTAAATCCAATTTATTTAGGTATGTTGATGTGAACAGAAGTAAGCATCAAATTAATGCTCTATAATCTTTCTAAACATTATTAAAGACCTGTATACATCAGATAACAACAGCTGACGGACGGATTTGTGTCACGTTCATTACCCAAAATACACATTTCCGATTTTTTTGTTTTGATAAATATCAGCATCAACTCAACGTTTACTATTATTAGTAGTAATATCTGCTGTTATGCAGCATATAAACATAAGAACTACTCTATTGTGTATTACTGTTACTATTGTTATTTCTTTTACACACATATTCATCATTCTTTTGTATAGATAACTATTTGTTTGTGACGTTTTTTCATTACCGGATTTACTACTATTATAGAGACGATCATGTTGATCACGAGGTTGTAAACACCAGTTTAAGTTGTTTACTTTTCATCGAATTAGCAAAATACTCAATATTTTCATTCGATCGGTCTAATATTTTTTCATTATTAATCTTTTCCCCACCTTTGTTGACAAATGTTCTATTTTTTTTTAAATAATAGATTCACATATAAACAAACAAATATATATGGTTTATTATTAAATATATGTTTAATTGTTGATTACATGGTATTTTTAGTGGAGATTGATAGTTTATGTGTTGTAGAACTAATTTTAGAATCAACCAGATTAAAGCACAAATGTTTCGGTTTTTAAAGCGAGACTCATCAACAGCCTGCACTCAACACTACAGTTCACTGTTTTACATTTATTAATCTGTGGACGAAATATGTGCACGCGATTTCAACTCGAATAGTTTAATAACACCAATCCGACTGAAAGGTCAAGTATACAAACTTCGTCCTGGTGAATTGAGTTTCACTAAAAATACACAATAAATTGTAGTTAAGTGTGTCTCATTCGTAGCACTATTTTCCCATCTGGATGGCTCATTTATTGGAAAAAAAAAAGTTAAAATATACTAACTACTCATTGAATAGAATTGCATGAAATGATATTGAAGGTTACATAGTTTGTGTGATTAGTGTAGTAAAGCGTTGTGGAGATGGTTGGATTTTATTTAAATCATGAATCGACATATGTTACACTGCTACTAGGAACCCTAAAACACTGGATGCCCATTTCTTCGTGGTATTGGACTGAGAAGTGTGCATCCACGATCCCGCGAGCGGGAATAGAACCCGTGGACTTCGGTCCCTTGAACGAACACCCAACCTCTAGACCTACCAAGTACAATGAGTGTTGTCTCAGTGGTTTTTGTTGCCAGATCCTTCAAAAGGTGACAAAAACTACATACACTGTTGAAAACCCTCATTAACAGAGAAAAGGTTGAAAAGATTTCATCCAATCATCCTCAAATAGAGACTTTCCAGAATTACTTAGAAGAACGAGAGATATGTCATAATTTTGAGTCGATAATTGCTTTCTTTTTACTAAATGTGTATTTCGACAGACTTAGGAAGTCAGGGTCATTCGGAGATCTATAAGTAACCCTGTTTTTGTACATATTTGAACCTTGAAATAAACCTCCCATTCTTACTTCACTCCTTTTCTTTCGAGACTTAAGTGTAGGAGTAGTCTGGGGATATAGAAGGTGACTGGGAAGTTAAGATTAAGGATTTGAGTAGCAGATATATTTCTCGCATATTTTATTTTAACAACATTTACGCTAATAATGAGGCTTCATTTTTGAAGTAAGGATTTGTAAAAAAACCCTACTTTTGAACAGTTAAAAGTTACACATTCATGCTTAGTAATAAGAATAGTTTTCGAAATTGTTGAGTCTTATCTTTGTTTATACGAGCATCAATTAACTGTTAAACATTTCGACTTATATTCGCTTATATCAATAGATATGAAGTTAACTAGGAAAACGTCAAAATTTCGGACTAAGGGAATATGAAGAAAATTTTTGGAATCGCTGCATAAGTGTTTGATTATAAATCAATAGACATACAAAACCCATTTCAATACGTTAGTCATTAAGGATAGATAATTATTAGATTCGAGTAAGGGAGAAGGCATTCAAAATATATGTATAAACGACATCAGTACGATTATGGATAACAGCTAATTTAACTCTATTTTTACAGAACAGTGTGTTAGTTCATTATGAAGAAATCCTAATATCTTCTTTAAAGAATGTTGTTGAGGTAAGCAATAAAAATCCTATGACTAAATCATTCAGATGAGAGAATATATTTCCAGAAATTACCCATTTATTTGCACATCTTTTAAAAAAAAATCTAGTTTTATTCGCAAATAATTAGTAAACAAATATTTACATAATCTAACATTTGGTTCTTTGATCAGTTACAAATAGGGTTTCTGCATTTAATATATTGATTGTATCATTGTATCATAGAAATAGTTTCTTATCATCTCTGTGTAGCACTGATATCTATTGTAAGTTTTCTCATTTAGAAATTGTGGTCTTGGATATTTTTGACAAGCTTTCAAAATCAGAATGATATTAGACTTCTGATTTTTTTAGAAATTTTGTCAGCGGAAAGCTGATCATTCAGATCTATAGAAGTTGGTTATTACAATCAGCAACTATTTCATATACCCCTGAATTTTCTTATGATCTTCATGCAAAATGTTCCATTTTCTGTTTTCTCCGGGTAGGTATTTGTAATTGAGAAAACCATTAATTTTGAAAGAATGAGCAGCAGCCTTAATATCTCAGTTTGTGTATTTATTAATGATGTATTGCAACTTTCTTGTTTTTCATTTAGTTTTGAAAGTACTATTCTCAAAGAAATAGTAACTTTTACATAATCGGTTAACAGTTGTACAATTTACAATTCTCATCGATAAGAGTTATTATATCATGATGCTTGAAAACTGTTTACCAGGGTGTGGTCACTAGAAATTTGTATTTTTCCTAAGCTAATATTTTTAGTCAATCAATGTATTGTTAGCAACGCAATATTCGTTAACCAAATTAAATTAAGTCAGATGAGTTCAAGGAGGGTTATCTTTTGAAAGTACGAGAATCGAATGGGATTTGAGCTAATAATACGAGAAGTAATTATTTATGTTATTGTTACTTGCAGAATCTTATGTTTCACCGAGTAGAAGAATATTAAAACACTGTCCAACCTGTAATTACAAAGAATTAATCTTTAGGTAAAATTTTACCCTTTATATACATTGTTGAAACATTTAAAAGTACCATATAAAAGTGATCTAATGGTTTGTGCTCACTCGTTGATCAGTAGAATGGATTATCCAATAAGATTGTTCTAAACTAAGAGCACTATGAATGAAGATGTTCAATAGTAAAATATCTACCTCACTAGCCCATACACCTCATATGTTGACTCTTAATTTAATTACTTCCTACTACACTTCAGTTATTGTCTTCCACAATACCTAACACACACACACAACTGATCCTCACAGTTCCCCAGCTTTCAAGGTACCTTCAGGCTAAACGCAGCCTAAAGTAAGCTGAATGTCACACATATTTACAGTTGATATGATGTTTCGTAAATGTTTAGAATATACTTGGCGTTTTATTCCCTTTTAACTTACCCACTTTTAAATATTCCATTTCTATTAGTAGCATTACCCTTATTTTATATCATTCAAAAGTAAACAACAACGTATCGATCTCCACTTCAAATAATATCCATAAATTCATATATCAAAGGAAGAACTCTGGAATAACTATCAAACTATCAACTTCAGCTTACAATATACATGTTTCAAGAGATTCAGAAAATTCTTACTCATGTACCATACTATTTTTTGTCTGAAACCAAACAATATTACAACTATTTCCCAGTGATACTTACAACTTTGATAATATAATTCTACTCAGATTGATTTATTTATCTTCTCTATGAATTGTGATTCTTTACATTTAAGAAATAATTTGTTATGTTCTATTTGCGCTGTTTCTTTTTTTTTTAAATTTTACAAATCTTACAAAAATAAAACAATTATGATGTTGAATTACTTGACATTAAAATGAGACTCCTAAAACTTGTTAGATCATCTAGGAAGTCACAAGCAAAACTATTGGATATCAGTAACGATAGATAGTAATTTGAACATTATATCACAAGCTAACTAAACATGAATAATTGGATCACAGGATCCCGACTTAATGTGATATAAAGGTAGATTAGTTTAATTGGTTACCTACAATATGAACGTTTTCCATAAAACATTTATTATTTATAGATGTTAATCAAATAAGAAGTTAGATAGTTAAACATCGACCATACATAATAAAATTTAACTTATCATATACTCATTGGATTGTTTTTATTTACATCATTATATTATGGGTCTATTGAACAGTTGAAACTAGTTTGTACAAAATAACATCATTATAATGCCCAATAGTTTTTGTAACGAATATTAACTGTCTAAAAGTTAATCTATACGTTATAAAATAGATTAACATAGTCTCAATACACTTGTTTAATATTCTGATTATTACTGTTGAAATTCACATTGTAAAAGTGTATTAAACATCCTTTCATTTATTTAAGACAAAATGGTCCCAAACACTTTTACTATTATGTTTTGTTGTTGTTTGTTTTCTCAGTTAAAATAGCAGTTTAAATATTGCAAATCTCACAAAGAAACTTTTTAAACGAAACATTTTTGTTTTGTCGAAGTTTCCAATTTTCGTCACACCAGGATAAATATATCCTTGTAACATATGATAAACCATTGGGTTAAATTTAATATATATGTAGAATAACTAAGTTGTGATTGGCTGGTATATTATCATTCTGTTGCATCAAAGTATAATCATCCTATTGACCATGAATCTGTTTATTAGTGGATTGGACATAGTTAATAATCGTATAAAAATGTCGTATTATATATTCTATCAATCCTGAACTCCTGGTTTATAGTTTGTATCACCATAATCTACGTCATCGATATCATCGATATTATTCACCCGATTCCACTTGTATATTTGTGGTCTAAGTCATAATTATGTTATGAAAAATAAAACTGGATGATGCAGACAAAAAAAACTTTTCAAAAAGAAATCAGAACAAATGAACAGTAAAAACAGTGATATTAGAAAGAAATAATTATGAACATGATAGTGGACTAATGCATTAAAATGAGATAAAACAAAATGATTGAATTAAATGAGTTATCAAAAAGTAATTCGCAAAATACACTTGTGATCAAAATATGTTGAGGTGACATGTCAAGATTCCATACAATTGGAACTGATCTCATCGAGAGAGTCAGCGAAATTTGTAAGAGATTAGTTATATGCTTTTACTTGGGTAAAGAGTGTTGGACATTGGGCATATGTATCAATGAAATTCCATAGGCACTAAAGAATTAGACAAATATTACGTTGATTACCACTCTGTAATTGGTTAATTGTAAATATTTCAATCCTACAGTTAACCAGAAGCTGGTTGAATAGTTCAGTGACATCTCAGACTATGTAGCTGGGTAGGTGACGTGGATGAGAATCTCATAAGAAGCATCAGTTACCTTAAAATTTAGTTGGTCCGTATGATACGTGAAAACCACTGATATTCATGTATGTCCTCGTGTACTTCGTAACAAACAGTGGTTGACGAAAGATTATGTGCAATGTCTTTGAAAGTC